TTTATTTTACCCGCATACTTATTTCCACATAAAATACCTGTGTTTTTGCTGAATCTATATTTTTGATCATTTATTATTATTGCAAGTTGAATTTTTTTTATATATTATTGGATTCTACTTCATTCTAATTAACCATATATTCTAATACTTATTCACATTCTTTCTTTACCTTACGTGCTTCGCAGCCAATTTTTAGCTCCTATGTTACTTTTAAAATTTCCTCTTTAAACATTTTTTTTTTACATCTTCACAAATACACACACACCTTCCTTTACTAACTGCTTTGGTTCCAAGGTTCCTCTATTCTGACCTATTATAGTTTTTCCAGCTGTCACATTAGAAGAGTTCTCGTTTAAGGCCAACCTAAATACTTTTACATCATCAGAGTGGGTTACTATGACCTAAATGAAAACAAATTCATTAACTTTCACACATTTTACAAATCCTTTTCATTCTTAGTTCTCTCCCTCCCCAAAAGAAGGAAAGTCTGTGATACGAAAATATATCATGGCTATAACTCCTTCATAACGTAGAAAGTGTATATAGGTTTATTTGGATTTATTCAAGTAATACGTTTCAAAATCCCAGTAAAAGCGCCTGTGCTTGATTAGACGTTTTACGTGAACAAGATGTGTCCACTCTTGAACTTGCGAATCTCGTTCCTATGAATTATTTCCTAAAATTCCTAAATGTAAGCATAAAACTCTTTCATCCATGCACGTTGGTATGTTTACTGTAGAAATCTGTTGAGTGAGTCACATTGAAATGTCTAGTATGCAGGCAATATAAAAAATATAGAGAAGTTAGAAACTCTGGTTTCTTTTTTCTATAAAAGTAACGTGCCTGGTAATTTGGTTTCTGGAAAGTTTGGATGATCCTTGGGATTAAATATGATTCTAACTAAGTTTTTTTTGGTCATATTTGCCTCGGTAATTGTCCACTGTAGCTATCTAAATTTGTTTATACTGTAAGTTCTGTTTCTGTTTAACAGAAACGCTGACCATAAGCTGAGAGATGATTTTCACTTGAAATCTTCTTCTGGTGTTTGTGTTATTATATTGCACTAAAGTGTTTTATTTTCAAGCTGAAACAACGGGGCTTTTAGATTTGTGAAAGTGGCACTTAGAAATTATCCAATCACTACTACCATGGAGCTCAGAGTAAATGATTTACCTTCTTTCGCACTCGTTTAAACTAAAACAAGGTAAGGAAGATAACACTCTAACGTGGAACAAGTAAAGGAAGAAACAGACTTTAAAATTAAATAACAAAAGACGTGTAACAGCCTTATCTGACTACAAAAAAAGAATCAGTTAAGATGTAGGCTTTAGAAAGAATGTACAAACAAATGACGTGAACATTACAGAAAACGGAAGTGAGAACTAAAAAAAACAAAACAAAAACCAGTTAAGCCAAGTAACCAAAAACATGTATAAAATCATCTGAATAGAAAAAGTTTCCCAATAAATTCTTGGTTTGTGTTAAATTCAGTAAACTCAGTTATTATACATTCAGGTAGGGTACATAGAAACTCGTCGATAACTGGTAGAAACATTACTGAAAAAACTAAACAGGGTTGCAGAATTGTGGAACAAAGTATAAAATTATAAGTGACAAAGGAAAAGACTTATGAAAATAAGAATAACCAAGAAGTTCGTATTAAATCAATGAAAAGTGGAAAAGAAACTTAGTAATAGCAGTCCTTACAAAATTCATTTTATCGATTTTTCGGAAAGCGAAAAAATAAGAACGTGTAAAAGAAATACTAGTACAGTAACAACAACAAAAAAGAACTTGGAAGCAACTTTTTATAAGACTTAACCTTCTTTCCAAAGCTTTTTCTATTATTCAGATTATAATAGCATTATTCAGGCTTAGGTATTACTCTAAATTAATCATAAACCACATACATTTACAAAATAACTTAAACCCATATAAGAGAATAACTTACGATAAATGGTGAGGTATAACAGCAGGACAATTAGTAGTTAGTTGAAGACAAAATAAATCATGTAAGGGATTAGATCGATCAATCATTTGTATAACTCATTGGCGACAAAAATGGAAGATGAGACGAAGGAAAACTCATTTTACTGGGATTAAAAAAAGAAATGGTTGGAGAAAAACACTTTATGTTTCATATCAAAGTTCTAAACTTAAAAGCAAAAACAAAACACATTCCTATAACCAAAAGGAGAACAAATGGTTTTAGGGACTTTTAAAATTAAGCTTCTACGTGGTAGTTGTCAAAAAAATGTTGGAATATAGTAGATGGATAAACCAACCATAGAAACTATTTTATATGAACAGGTAAAACTTTGTAGACCGTTAAAGTTTGATGCTACCAAGGTAAACTCCTGGTGTTTCATTAAAAGATTCTTAGGAAATTTATAGAAACAACTGAAGCTACAGAAATCCAGAAAAAAATCTATTCCTTGTGAGAGACTTCAACAGCAAGAGACAAAAGATAGTGAAGTATAATAATAATAATACGTCTAAAAATAGGAACCGTTTCGTTTGAAATGTCTTTCTCGGCAGACGAAGTAAAGTGTTGACATAGACTTCAATTTGCTCTTCGGGCTAAACTATCAGAGTCCAGTAACGACTGGAATGACACAGTTAACTTTCACATCTTCTCTACATATGCTGAGGCCTAACGTTCTTATGACAAACAACTAAACATATAAGATGGGCCATAGCGAATCTAAATGAATGATACGCTTGCTTTTGTCTGGCCGTAACTTTTCTCTTAAATTTCTTGACCAAAAGCAACAATTCTCATATCGTTAGAAAGGACTTTGTCCGAGGAGTCCGGTTTGTATATTGGATTTTCCATTTAGGATCATCTTACCTGTTTTTGGCTTAGTCAAACTTTTTAATTCAACCATTTTGCTACACGATAGTATAATGTCGTTATCATCACGTAACAACTGGCTTCGATTTCAATTTTTTATTTGTAAAGTATTTCACACTAAAAACATTTAACACATGTAATTTCCTTTTAAAATATGAACAGTACATTAAATACAATTGCTATGTCGTTCTCGACTCATTTAGGTCTAAAATACGCATGCGCAGTTCAAAACCATATGCTTATCTCTCTGTGAACACCCATTCACGCGTTTCTTCATATTCAACTAAGTCTGCCTTCATTACAACTTTACATTCACTTTATTTTGTAATAATTTAGCTGCGGTTCATTTCACAGACTGCTATAAACACTTTTTGGGTACTTTTTTTCTTTACTAAAGGTTTTATTATTCGTTTTTTCTGTGTTTTTTTTTTATTTGAACTCGTAAAACCGTGTCATACACTGAACGCTCATAACTGTTTCATACTCTGTATATTAGCTAGAGTATGCGTCCGCTGGACGGAAGTTATGTAAATTCATGATAAATGAAAGGTTATCTTAGGAGGTGAAAAGCTGCTTCCCTTATATGTACTTGTAAAAAAACGCAAGCTTGCATGTATCTCCTCATGGACCCAACGAACATTCATGCCAAATTTTGGTGAAGATCCATCCACACCATGCGAAGTAGTTACATGGACAGTACTATTGTATTTATATACATACCATTACATTATTTTATTGTTTACTTTACGTGTAGTTTTATTAAATAAAGTTACGTCTACATGAGTAATTTTTTCAAATAGATCAGGATTTATTGATCTAACACATAATGCCTACAAAAAAACGTAGCTTAAATTGCGTGCGTGAAAATGATAGAATAATAAAAATTCAAGTGAAGGGCATGAAAACTGCCGTAAATTAAAGGTACTAATTTTATTAGTGAGTTTACTATTACCCACCTACCTAGAAGAATAGACAATCGAATCGATTTTCGACGGAATTATTCTATTTGAAGGTCCCAAAACTACGTCTTTCTACTTTAGTTTGACAGTAAAATCCTTGTTCTTCTGAAACGTGTGATAATATAGATAACACAAATGCGACTGAAATATGAACAAAATGTCCAGATTCTTCACAGTTATTTACTCAAATTCTATTTAACTCGTTCCATTATAACTGTATGAAAATTTTAGGGATGTCTCTAACAAAAACGCAATTATTAATAAAGTATTTTTATTTTACAATTCCTGTATAAAGTTTCTAATGAAGAGCTTTCTACGCTGTTGTGGTTTTGTTATAGAGTTTGTTTGATGAGTTTTAGCTTTGTTCGTTAGGGAAGAAAACATCTTACGAATATTTATACAAGTTCGTTGTTACGTATTATCTTATCCCTCGTGCTTAACGTCAGCATTCTCTTGGAACACATATTAAACTACTCACGTTTCAAAATTAAAATTCAGGAGGCTGAGCTTGAGTCGAGCCTTTGTTTAAGTATATCTTGTTTGTGTTATTCTTATTAAAGTTCTGTCTTCACTTCCAAACTTAATCTAAAATATTTTAAACTAATTGTTTACCTGTATGGTGTATTGCAAGCCAAGTTAAAAAACAAAAATCATAGCGGCGATAATCTCATTAATAAATATTGTGTTTATTTACTGCTATATTAATTTCACACTAGCAGTAAAATTCTTATTGTACAGATTTTCATTGCAAAAGTAAAAATCTCGTATTCCTGCACACTACGTAATGATACACTACTGCATAAGATCACGTGAAGAACAAGTAGTAGAAAATGAACAGCTATTTTACCGACGTTTGACTTTTGTGCAACTCGGAGTAAGATTTATATTTGTAATTTCATTAATCAAGAGATTAATATGAAACAAACTTAGTTTCACTGACTGTAAACCAGTTCATAACACAAAGTAGGCAATCTTTTGTCGATATTTAATGTTCTTAGTTATTTCTGTAGCTACTCAATGAACTTGTATTAATTATAAAACAAATTAATAAGAATTATAAAACAAATTAATAAGAAATTAAGTCTCCTAAGAAGCGAAGTTCCGTTTTTTTTTCAGAAAATATTTAATGCAAAATATAAAAAGAAATAAACACTGATAGTTGAATCATACAAATGTATTTTACTTACTTGAAAATAAGATCGTCTTCCTGACGACCGAAGAAAGGAGCCGAGAATGATATAATCCATGTATTTTCACCTCCACAATCGAAGTATGGAGATGTCCACTGTCCATCTTCGATCCCGACTAACAAATCTTTGTTACCATCGAGAAGGCCACTATAATACTGTGAAAACTCAGGACCATACTTTTGCAACAGAAACTGCGAAATATTTTTTTCAGAATGAACCCAAAACCATTCGTTTCCTACCGATCCTTCAGTGTCATAGGATATCTTGTAACTTTTGGATAAGTCCTTGGTGGCTACATGATCGTTTTGTCGAAATGCGTACGGAGCAAAGAAAGTTAAAGATGACTTGTTCCGAGAAATGAACGCATCTTTCTTAAAAGCGATGGTACTTCCTATTATAACAACATCGCTTTCAACGTTGACTGTAACAAGCGAATAGTAAAATGCTTCATTATATAAAACCTCTGTTTCATTGGAAGCCTTTATGAAGAGATTATTTAAAATGTTGGATGTCTTCAGTGCAGCACGGGCTTGTTTTTCAAAAGGTTTATATGAATGATTTGACAAAGGGTATTTAAAATGAGTTTTCAGCGACGTTGTACTGCAATTATGAGATGCGCTACGGTTACGCATTAGCTCTATATAATGTAAAACGGCAGACACGTAATCTTCTTTTTGTAGAAGACGAAGCACATCAGCATCGAAGTGTGCTAGGCTTAAGTCATCAAGTTTCTGACGACGAACCGCATCTCTTAGATGAGAGCTCTTAGCCGCAAGGTGTGATCGCGTAAAGAAGAGGATTGCTGTCAGGAACAGCCATAAGGCAAAATAATGTCTTATCCGATCCATTGTTTTTATCCGATCCAGCTTCAAGAAATTGAAAGTAAGAATAATATATTATACTAGAAAAAATTACAACAGCTTTTGTAGTCAATTATTTGTATATTTTGCACCATAAAGAAAAAAATATTGTGAAAGAGCAAACATATTGTTTCAGACAATTTTTCTACAGTTAATGTTTGATATTAATTCCATACATGGTATATTCTCGTTCTCACAGACGGTTGAAAAGTGTGGCGATAAATAATTTTGAGATTTACCTAATCATTATAAAACATAGTTGCTTTAAATAAGATGTTGTTCTAAACTTCCATGAATAAGTTATAAGACGGCTAAATACGTATTACGTCTTCCAGAGTTACTGCCAGCACAAGAATAACGATAACATCTTAAATCTTTGAACCGTATAGAAGGAGTATTTGTACTTCTGCTTCACAGATCGGTGCCGGTGGGCATGACGCCAACAAAAACATCTCTTGCTGACAGCATTCGTAACCAGCAGTGATCAGAAAATGTCTTAGAAAGTTCTCACAACTAATAGGGTATTTCTTTTGTGTTTCCAAACTAGCTCGGTTGTCATCTTCCTACTGGTTGGTTCTACCTATTACACCAAATAAAAACAAACAATGATCAGTGTAGTTCATTGAAATATAGCCTTTCGTTATTCAAAAAGAAAGAAAAAAGATTTTGTCCTTTTCTTATTTTTCGTAATGTCGATGGGGTTAGTATCATTGTCACAATAGCTAAGCCTAATATATATATATATATATATATATATATATATACAACAACAGACTATTAATATAGTAGTA